AGACTAGGGAAGACATTTTTGAGCCACCTTTGGCAAAGTAGAAAGGAACGATTGGCCATCGGTCATCGGTCCTGTGGGAACAATGCTCCGTCCTCTGAGGGCGCGTGGTCAATGGCCTAACCGCTAAGGCATGCAAAACATAAGAGTACCCCCCCCCCCCCAANGGACAACTTCAAAGAACTGCTGATGTACACACATGGTACGTAGTATGCCAACAAAAATAGATCTCGGCCATCGGTGCCTTGCTTGGAGATTTGGCTCACATGCACAGAGTGTGCCCGGCGACGCGTGTGTGCACGTTGTCCTCCTATCAAGTCAACAACCAATTGCAACACCAACAGTTTCACAGCTGCGGCTTCACCAACACACACATATGTATATTTCAACCTCCTCCCAGTCCCGAAGCTCCAATCGGACGCACAGTCTGCCAGATGAGGTGTTCTCCATCCACCGTTTGAACAAGTTGCTCAGAACTTTGCAACTGCTCGCGCTTGGGGTGTCTATCGCAGCAACACTGCTGAGTCACCAGTGCCGGCCACAACGACACCAACCGGTTGGTAAGCAACTTGGTGTCTTGTTTCTCCGATCCTCTTTCAACAGCAAAATCAAACTACTCCATCTATATTCTCCCTCCAGCCAATCCCCAACGTAAAGAACATCGAGAGCTCCTCCCGCGTCCAGGAAAGCAACTGATTGGTCTACCATAAGTCGAAGAACGGATCTAACCTATCCCAAGCTACCTCCTTCCTACTTTCTGCCCCGGGATGGGGACACCCTTTTCCTTGAGGAGGGTCATCCACTGCAATTGCTTGGTCGCCTGAGAAGAAAAACGTGCGGCAAGAGACACGCACGAAAGGAAAGACGTGCGTCGTCTGTGTTCGTCAGGTATTCACCATGTCCAACAAGCAGAGCGCAACACGTACGGCGCAGGCCAGTGAATCTTTGAAATGATGTACAGCAGTTCCCTCTTGCGTCACGTTGCCACACCCGTTAGTCAAACGGGAGAGGCTGGTACGCCATGGTACAAACAATATTGAGGAAGCAAAGGGGTTGTTTCGAGCGCGCACGTGCGTTTCATGCCAAGCGACATGATTCTTTTATCACCGCCATGAACAACGACCACCTTTCAAAGCAACTAGAGGTAGTAGACAACGGTGAGGAACTACCTGACGACCTGGGCACGTGCTCGGCACGTCGAACCTCTTCGCAAGCAATGAGCCCATGTCTGTCCTCAAACGCCTCGATGTAGTGGTCATCAAAGCAAGCGTGAGAGTACCACCGAAGTTTCAGGCTTGGTGGGGACAAAAGGGTCGCTTTCGCGTGTCTTGCCTCGCAGCAAACCGCGAGTGATGAGAACAAATCTCCAGCAAACGCAATCGTGTGCATGCATCTTTGTCGAAAAAAAAAAAATCCTCGCTCACCGCTTTGAACTCGTTCCTCCAAATCTTGCCCGTCTTCTGCCGTCTTGTCTGCAGCATCGCGAGTTTTTCAATCCCGAGTTGACGGTGGGACCATTGCGAAAAGAGGGCGGGAGGGGAGGCGGGGAGGATAGCGTGGTAGAAGGTTGGATTGGAGTTTACACCATCAACCTCAAGGCAGGCATCCGCGTCTGTTTGTGGTACTTGGGTACGATATCTGATCTTGGGATTTGCTGTGTGTGTGTACTTGTGTGTGTTTTTACAAAACTTGTGTGCGGGGGAGAACACGCTGCGTGTGGGTTCGAGTCCGCCCCCCCCACCGCGCGCGCGCGCGCGCGCGAGAGAGAGAGAGAGAGAGAGAGAGAGAGAGAGAGAGAGACAGCACGCACACGTGTCATTTCCCTTTCGTTTGTTGTGTACAAGAAAAGAGAAAAGGTTCATGATATCGTATCGTCGCTCGGTCCTGGGGCAAAATATTTCCTCATACTTGAGCTCAACTTCTGCGGGATATGTACAGCACCTGGGCCCCGTGATGGAAAGAAGTAGGAACACCTCAGGACGAAAAAAAAACACCTCCAACAAGGGCGTACCGGTCTTCCTCATGCCATGGGAGAATTGCCGGCAACTAGATACGTCAACCGACGAAGGCAGCAACTGACCATGACGCGTGCAACACAAAAGAGGGCTGCCTCAAGAACTTCCGCGGTAACCGTGTACCCGTAGTTCCCAGTATCCTTGTCACCGGCCAATCGTAAATCGTCCACATGGCAGCTGCCAACACAACCTGATCATTAGCATCTACGCATATATAATGAACCTTCGTGTGAACCGTCGTCTCGATTTCCGTCTTATGAAACATCCGACTCCTTGACGAAACTGCCAAAACCCCCGAATATTGAGTAGTCGGCCCAGCAAAAGTTCGCTTCGGTTCGCGCGACGCGGCTTCCGCTTCAAGATCTCGAGGACCCTCAGAACGTGCGGTATTTCTCCCGCCGCTCCCAGCACCAATGCTAACAAGTCACGAGACACGACGGACAGATTTTCACAAGCCGTCTCACCCTGTTGTATCCCTTCTCGTGGTACCGGTGTCGCTTCATGACCTCGGGGACGCGCATCATCCTTTCTCTCCGCTCGATCTCGTCCATCGCGTGCTTCATCTTCTGAGCGCTGTCTCCCTTCACCTGTTTGTTGTCGATGATTTTTGCAAAGACGGTCAGAGTAAAGGGCCGAACCAATTGCACCGCACCCGCTGCCTCTACAGGCGGAAAAAACCCGCATGTTCACACATCGAAAAAGCTCGTCCGTTGGGTTAGCCCGTCCGTTGGGTTGAAAGGGACCCGAGCAAGAACGGCTGACTACTCTCGGCATCGAGTATGCGGTCAAGAGGCAAAGTATCGGGGTGCATCCCAGAGTGTGACCAAGGTGCCGCCACCTAAAACAAACCCTAAAACCCTAGTTCCGTTGCTGCTGTACTGCTGTAGCATCTGTCGAGTAACTTCGCTTGTGAACTCGCGGTCGCCGATTCTTCGACATATGAGACATGGGTTCGCAGGTGTGCATGCCAGGTGACACCTCCCTACCCACACCCCTGAAGCAAGTGGGCACATTTCCATCGTTGCAAAACACAAGAGTGCTCGTTCTGCGCAAGAGTGGTTGACACCTTGTGATACACGCCCATGCGTTCCCAAAGGTGTCGACTACAATACTGCGTAAGAACGTATTGCGGTAGCAGTAGCATCGATGTCGAATGGGTCATGCACAAGGCCGAGCCAGCAAAACAGCTGGGTCCAAGCGTCGGCTTTCGTCGTGCAAATCCATTCCCTTACTCGCGTCAAAGCCAGGAAACCAGTCACACCGACAATACATGCACGTTGACGGAACAAACTCTACAAGACAGCATCGGTGTGTTAAATAGCGTTACTGCGGTGGGGTGTAGCAGCAGAAACTACGTGTCGGCAAGCCTGCCGCTCTCTTTCGAGCCTTCGATGATCCAGCCAACACCCATTGAAAGGCGTCATGAATATCCACAGGGGCCGAGTATTTGTTGCCGTGAAGCCAACAAATGCTACGGCTATCCGTCGCTTCATCTCTCTCCACAATCCACCCCCACGCCATGAGCAATGCGCACCTTGACCGAGTGCCTTCCGAGCAGGGAACCTGCCGACCTGGCCACCCACGACGTCGACATTGATCTGCTCACGTTCGCCCCGCTTGCCGAAATGGACGTGGCAAGAGGCATCCCGCTGGAAGCAGCGCCCCGCTGGAGCACATTTCGCGCCAGGTGCGCCATTTTGCTCGCTATCCTCGAGGTGCGAGTGCACGCGCGTGCTGTCTCTGCTGGCACTGCAGCAATGCTATGTCCCGATAAGCGGAGATTTCGACATCCCCATGCGCGCATACGTGCGCGAAACAACCGATTTGCCGGTGCCCCTGTCGTTGTTGCGCCGCATCGTGTCCACCAACCGTCCGTCCCTCCGTCCCGTACAGCAGCTGCTTCTCTTGCTCTCCACGTGGCGTACGCCAGACAAAAGGATACCAAGGTCAGCGCGGAATCAATCCCCTTTGGCAGAGCAGACGAGTGCTGGCCCTAGACAGCGTGCTTGGAGAAGTGTGCGTGATCCTTTGCTGAAGGGTTCAACTGCCACCACGATTGGTTTGAATGCAAAGCGACTGCGGTCCACGACGGTGCATGTAGATCACACGCACGCCCTTGCGTTGCCCTCCTCGTTCGTCCCCTCAAAGGCGGCCACCAGGGACCGTTGTATACGCCGGAACTTTGCTGGTTATTTGAGCTGGACGGTGCTTTGCATCCTCGGCGTGGCTGCTGGCACCACCAGCATCATGGGTGAACGGTTAGATACATCAATCAACCGCCGGTACAAACCTGCCGCGAGCTGCCGTACGTTGCTTGCACTCTGGTTGAAGGACTGCTGTAAATGTAACGTTGTGCATGGTACACACCAGTGGAGTGGGGTGGTCTAGAATATCACCCCCTGCTTCAGAGGCGCGCACTCACCAGGAGTGCAACACAGCAGCGCTCGAGACAGCAGTAGCACAGAAATTTGAAATTCAAAGTGTTCGGTGTCTTCCGGACGATGGCCTGAAAATTGGGGTGACACACACACCGGTAGGCTCACACTTCCCCGATCGTGGCAGCAAAGACCGAGTGTCCATGCCCTCACGTGCATGCCATCGAGGTGGTCGCGGGCAGCCCGAAGCAGCCGTTATTGGCAACCGATCGGTGTTTTCATCTTGGAGCACTTCCAACGTGTATCTGGATGTGTCAACAAGCGGAGAGGCATAAGCAAAGCAGGCAGCAGGACCAGCCCGCAGCTGGCTCAAAAGCGAACGCAAGCTGTGACGCGTTTTAACTAACAGAGCCCAGCGAACCCCGGCGAACCAAAGAAAACTTTGAAAAATCTGTGTAGACTATTTAAGCGACTTAACTAACGAACACAGGAAGATCGCATCCGTTGGAGACATTGCCACAGCAGTCTCTTTTTTTGCGAGAATCCATCCGTTCGGACAGCGCAGAAACACCGTTGATCGGTAGCGATGTGACAGCTTTCACTCCCTCCGAGCTGCAATCAATACAGGTTGTGGTGAACTTCTGCGATTCCCTTATCACGAAGTCGATCCCATCTCTAGAGTGCACTACATATCGCGGCTTTCGTCCGCACAGGAGTATCTTGGAATCCCCCGCCCTCCCCACCACAACCTCCTTCCCTGCGTGTATCCCCTTGGCGCCTACTGTAACCGAAAGGTTTCACTCCCGTCCGGCTGCCATCGGGCCTTCCGTGCTTGCGGCCGACATGTCACGACTCATGGAGGAGTCGCTGGACGTAGAGCGGCAGGGCGCGGACTACATCCACCTCGACGTTATGGACGGGCACTTCGTGCCCAACCTCACCTTCGGCGCGCCTGTAAGAGCCCGTCCCAGCTTTGATTTCCAACCCTTTCGCATCGTTCCGTCTCCCTTTTGTGTGTGCGCAGTAGACTCGACGCTGGACGTTTTGGATAGGTTATATCTCGCAGCCTCGCGTGAAATAACAAAGCCAAGTATCCGGCCGTACTTTGAACAATCGGAGCAAAGCGGAGCTTTTGCTGTGGTATGTCGTTACGGTTGCATCGGAGTAGCAGCGCATTGCCGTTGCAAATCGATCAGACTTTCTTCATGTAGGGCTACCCGAAATCCGCCTTTGCCTTGGGTTGGAGTTCGTCATTATGCTACGAGCTTCGTTCGATGTGCTGGTGTCGTGCACCTTGCTGCTCATTTCAGCTATGCATGTCCTGTGGGGCAGCTGCCCGGGGTTTCGGTACTGTGTTCAATTGAATGTTCTAAAGCAGGGTTTTCGCGTGCGGCCATGGCAGCTACGTATCTCCCTTCTCACCCCCTTCTCACCGCTTGGTGAATCATTGCAGAGGAAGCAATATCTTTAATATTATTGTTTACACAACCAACACAGGCAGTCTCTCGCTTAACGGCGAAGCGCGAGTGTCACGCGTCACCTGTTCGCGCCGCAATACCTACGACTAGACCCTCCAAGCGGGTGCGTCGAAGAACATGAAGGCAGTTTGGAGGCATTGCGACCCTTGGGTGGGCTACTCCTGACGAGTCGTTGGAACACGATACCTTACGTATTACCAGTTGACAGCCTTGGCCCTGCGTATCTCTCAACTGTTGCGTACTTTTGCGGGATCTGTCGCAGGTCATCAAGGGTTTACGAAAGCACACGAAGGCATTGCTGGATGCCCACCTTATGGTGTCGCACCCTGCCCAGTGGGTGGACGATATGGCGGCCGCTGGGGTCGACAGGCGAGTCTTCCCCTTGTCCGTGCGACAACCCTGGTGACCGTAATTGGGATTCCGTTTCTCTTTCCGGCGTGCGGGGTAGGGTGCGTGCGTATGTTGTTGCGATTGGTGCACCTGGCGCATATTTGCCTGTTAGTTGGAGATGGATGACATTTCGACGTAGGAGTTGTTCCCTTTAGTGATGCGGTACAATACGTCAGCAAATACGGCATGCGATAGCGGCGACGTGCGCGTTGGATTGCTCAGATCTGCTGCTGGGGCCGTGACGTTCGCAGGCCGCCGCCGTACAACAAACAAGTCCGCGAAAGCCTTTGGTTCCAAGCTAAGCGTTGGTCCTGCGTGCTTTCTCCTTGCAGGTTCACGTTCCACGTGGAGGCCACCGACAAGGTCGCCGAGCTGATCGCGGCGGTGAAGGCGAAGGGCATGCGCGTGGGCGTGGCACTAAAGCCGGCTACCCCAGTAGAGGTGCGTAGAACCGCCTTCGTGAACAATTAAGATTATGAGGAAATAGAACAGGGAGGGGGTACGCAAACCCTATTCCCTAGCCCTACCCCTCACCCAAATTCCCCGGCTGCAAGCTTTATCCACATGTCTTGTTCCAAGGGAAATAGAACAGGGAGGGGGTACGCAAACCCTATTCCCTAGCCCTACCCCTCACCCAAATTCCCCGGCTGCAAGCTTTATCCACATGTCTTGTTCCAAGGGAAATAGAACAGGGAGGGGGTACGCAAACCCTATTCCCTAGCCCTACCCCTCACCCAAATTCCCCGGCTGCAAGCTTTATCCACATGTCTTGTTCCAAGGGAAATAGAACAGGGAGGGGGTACGCAAACCCTATTCCCTAGCCCTACCCCTCACCCAAATTCCCCGGCTGCAAGCTTTATCCACATGTCTTGTTCCAAGGGAAATAGAACAGGGAGGGGGTACGCAAACCCTATTCCCTAGCCCTACCCGTCACCCAAATTCCCCGGCTGCATGCTTTATCCAATATGTCTTGTTCCAAGTAGAAATACCCCGCAAAGGCTACCGGGTGTGTATTCCCTATTCATCACCCCTGGTCTCGCCTTGGAGGAATGCGATCTGTTTGCGTTACAACGCACGCATCCCTCTGCTCCGTCGAAACAGAGGAGTCGGTCAGCTGCTGCCAAGGCGCCCCGCCCAATGTGCGTGTACCCCTCCCCCCCCCCCCCCCCCNACACCTTCTTCTATCCGCGACGGTTGTTGCGACAAACAAACAGGAAGTGTTTCCGTACTGCGACGACCTCGACCTTGTGCTGATCATGACGGTGGAGCCAGGGTTTGGAGGGCAGTCCTTCATGGTGGACCAGGCGAGAACAGATATTATTCGGGTTTTTCCGCTCCTCAAATGGCAGGCCCGCTTCTTCCTCTAGCACCCAACCCCGCTACAAGATATTTTTCTTCTATTACGCTTTGTTTGCCTTGTACCGATCATACGGGCACGCTGGTGTAAGGTTTAATATCAAGAACGTACCCATCATACCGGCAGTACTTGCCCCGCACGCTGGGAAGAGTTTCTCTCGAGAAAGGCCGATTTTTTTTGTTTGAATCGGTTAATTGTAATTTCCAAGGGGTTTGAAGCGGTCGAGCCTACCGCGTCGACTATTGGTCAGGACGAAAGTGTCCGGATTTTTTTGTGTGCACTAGGGCAGTGGGCCGTAAACTAGTACCCTCCCAACGCAGGTACCCGCACAAGCAGCGTCGCGAATATGCGCATACGCGCATGCTTCGGTCTCCCACAAAGTATTCTTACGGCAGCCGTAGAAGTTCTATGCTGGATGTCGGAAGGTGAAGCGAGAGCTGGGACAGGTCTTTTTACCTCGGCCCACATATCACAATCGGCATATCTCGCGCGAGTCGAACATGAATTCAATTTGCTTTTGTCTAGAAAAGCGTAAGAATACCAGTGGCTGTCCGCGTGATTGCGATCAACTGCTCATCTCTCGGACGTGAAACGAGCAGGGGCTGCGATGACCCGCCTTTAACGTTACAGAACCGTTAGGCAGCAGGCGGAATCATTTCCCTTTCTGTTGTGGTCGCGGTAGACATGATTCGAACAAACCACACGCGCCGAACCTCACAGACTTTTTTTTTTTTCTCTATTGCGGTGGCCGTGGCAGATGTCGAAGGTCAAGGAGTTGCGGCGACGGTACCCGGACCTGGACATCGAGGTCGACGGGGGGCTCGCGGACAAGACGATCGAGGAAGCGGCGAGGGCTGGGGCCAACCTCATCGTCTGTGGCAGTTACATCTTTAAGGGGAACAAGGTAGGGTGGATGGGCGATGATTTTGGAGGGAGACTGCGATCGGGGAGGAGCTGTGGATGCGGCTAGACCAACACCCCGCTGTTTTGCAATACCATGAATCTAGAGAAGTCCGGGCACTCTGACGGGCGGGTAAGCCGATCGTCTTCGGTGGCTGCAGGTTCTAGCGGACCCGAAGTATGGTGGTGCTGATGTGGCGAAGCATGACAAAATCTCGACGTTCATCGACGTCACTGATATGTCTTTGGCCGCGGTTGTCTGCTCAAACATTCGTGCTCTCTTGGGCAATCGCTTGCCCGCCGCTAGTTTGTTTCACTTTCTTCCCGCAATACTCTTCCCAGCAATGTTGGCCAAGATTTGCGGACGTCGAGGAGGCTGTCCTCAATTTTGTTTTTTGTCGATTTCTGGCCTAGCGTTTCCCTTTCTGTTGGCAATCGAATGAATCATGGCGGGCTTTGAAGGACGAGAAGGATGAGTAGGCTCCAGGGAACCGTGCAGCCTACGGAGCACTTCATCGTGAAATACGAGCCGTGTCACTCTTGAAAGTTTCAACCGGGCCTAGTTGGTCAGTGTAAACATCACGGGTGCTCGCTGCGGACGCAATTGGCTCTATCGCGCGCGTTGTAGTAAATGGTTTAGTCGAGGCTTCTGAATTGCCTATCTTCAACAGCAACAGTCCATTCTCGGGTCGAGCGTGAACAACGACCATAAACACCTAGCACTCGTTCGTTAGTTCGGGGTCAACCTTTCAGGTTGTCAGCTTCATTGATTCGCCAGCTGTATGTGGTAGTTGTGAACTGTGTGGGGTTACCGACAAATAGATGAGTGAAGGAATCACCGTCGCGACCCGACCAGCTGTTCTCCTATTTTACAGGCGGAGCACTATCCAGTGAATCATGTTAAGACTAAAGTCACAAAATTCGAACTTTACTGGCGATCGCCCAGTACGTTCTCCGAAGCGTGCCACAGGCGATCCCCTCGCACCTGACAGAGATGGCGGCATCCGAGATTCGGCCTCCATACGTGCACTTGGCAGTGAGCGAGAGGTGTACATTGATCTCGACAGCTTTTCGGCGTTACGCTTCGTTGACGGTCGAGAACATTTGATGATTTTCGATTGTTCCCTTCACATGAGACCGAATCCGTGGGCCCCTGTTTTGGGCGCACCAGGGCGCGCTCACCTCTATTGTGCAATGTACTGTCACCGGGCAAGGCTCGTTCGCCATTCCGCTTGTGGCCGGGTATGAAGACGGAGAACGTGATATATCTCCCATGAATTTGGATATTGGAATGACACACACCACGTATCTTCCTGCATTGCGACAACAGAAGTGTCTTTCTTGCAAGCGAAAATTCCAATGGATCCTGGGAAACGAGGTTCCGGCCACGTTACACAGGAAACGTTGGTTTACCTTGCGAACCCACCCGCATAAGGATGAAGGCAGACAGGGATATTGAAGAAGTGATCTGTAACAACAGTCACTAACCCGAACCGGTGCTCCAGTCGGCCTTGTGGTCTTGCGTTGTAGTTATTCTGTGTCCAAGCGGGAAGAAACAGACGAGAAAAAGGAACAAGAATAGGTGTGAGGCTTGGTTCTCAAGAAGAGGAGAAATTGGGTCTTCTGTACAGTAACTGTACCCATCTCTTAGGACCCCGCCCATCTACAACGGATTTTATCCCTCCGTGCCTGGTTGTTGAAGAGGTGTCCGCAAATCTGTTTGAAACTTCATTTTGTGTAACCTATTGCCGACGAGAGCGGTGCTACTGTGCTAGGGTTGTTTGTGCCTGACCCCTGGTGTTCTTCTATTGACCGTGGCCCATGCAAGCATTTTCAAGCCTCCCACGTTTGAAGCGAAATATTCTCCCCGATCCCTCGGTTTCATCGCCGTCGCCTCTTTTTTTGTTCCTACTTTGACCTCTTTTTCAAACGTTCGGGAATGTCCTGTGCGCGTGCCCCCTTCTAGGCGGAACGCATCAACCTCTTGAAGCAGGCTGTGGAGAAGTACGGCAACGGGAAAAAGGACGAGGACCTCACGCCCTGCGTCGTCCTTGGAGGCAAACACTGTCCCGCTGTGGCTGGCGTTACGGGTGCCGATGCTGTAAGCGGGGGGGGGCGGTAAATATTTTTTCGTGACAAAGAGGTCGGGTGCGGAGATTTAGAGGTTGCTGGCAAGGTTCCACAAATATTTCTTGACGGTTGGATGCGGCAGGGCATCTCACGAGTGGTTCGCGGTCAGAACGGGCGGATGGGAAGATCATGGTTGCATTTTACGGGGATTGGAAACGGTCCCACCGTGCGGCACATGGTTGCACCCACGTCTCGGCCGTCGTTTCAACGTAGTACGACACGAAACCGCGCAGTTTGTGCTGTTGATCAGAGCAACCGGTGTGCGAGACCCCCACGAACTGGGTCATTCTAAATGGCCATTTTCTCAGAGGCGTTGACTGCCGAGAGTTGGCGGCACACATGCCTCCCTTGGGTGACAGATTTGTTGTCCCTGGGTCGGATGCGCATCAAATCGTTACGTGTTGCTTATTAAATGCTGCGAATTAATGTGTTCGCAATTCCCCCGGCAGCGAAACGGAGCATCACCCAAGACGTGTTTTCGTGTTTCGTCTGCTACTGTCATTATACCCCTTTGGTTGACTCTGGGGCGACTGTTGTTGGCGACTGGACGGGGGAGCGCGGGAGATTGGTTACGGACAGTGTGTAGGCGCAGTGCGTGCATCATCGATTCTGAAATTAGGTTGCTTCCTCGATCTTGGAACCCTAAACGCCCGCCCGCGAAATAGTTTGAGCTGTAGACTACATTGTACGTATTTGTACCGTAGCGATCTCTTGGGGGAATTCGACGGTGTGAACTACACTAACCTGCATTCACCAGTGTCGCGGTGGAAATTGGTTACAAAAAGTCAAGAACAATTTATTAAGGCCCCTGATGATCGAAGCACCATTCCTGGCACCACGGCGATGCCCTCGAAAACATTTGGAGTGTACTTAGACTATGGCTACAACTTCCCGTCCCCAATTTGAACAAGTGAAGTATCTGGTGCTGATTCTCGTGGTTTCACCCTCAAGTTGTCTTGATAATGGGAACATAGACTACACCCTGCATACATCTCACTTTCAATCAAGCAGCGACGTGGCATCATTGCTCGGACTTCCCACAATCACCAGCGCCCTCGCAGAACTATCAGGCAAGCCTCAACACGAAAAATGCCCTTCAAACGAAAAACAACTCCACGACACTGCGGCACGGGTACTCGACCATTATCAGCACTCCCGGCGTAGGCAACCAGCAGTACGAGAAAGCCCAGGAAATGAATGAAGAACATCCCCTCCCCACACTACGGCACACGTGGGATCCAACACCCATCAAACGAAGATAACCCCTATGCCATTAATATGACTGAACACCGCGGCTCCCGCGCGCTGCCGGCTGAACTCGACGTCTACACCGCGCTCAATTTTACTTCTCGGCCTCGGGATCAGTCCACGCCTTACTGTCGTAAATCCTGCAAGAGATGGTGGTAGTCAAAGGGGAAAGAGGGTGGAGCCGGGATTCGAGCAAAAGCAAGCCCGAGAAGAAGGTATTCCTCGGGTGGAGGACACTGTCTGCAGTTCTAACACGCACGGACAGTGGATGCTCGACCAGAAGCGAAGCAAGCATGATATCTGTGGTAGCTGTTGCTCGCTACCATTGCGGAGGCCGGAGATTGGCTTCCGTGCCGGTAATCGGATATTCCATGCCGTCGGTGCACATATATCTACTGTGTGTACAGCAGACTAGAGAGAGAAAAGGTCCCCGCAGTTTTCTGATTGGTTTGGGCCCAACTTCCCAGTGCCGAACTTGCAAACGGTATTCTCCGAGAAAAGGTACTAAGGGATATGATCCACAAGCCGTGCGGAACGCACAACGTCAACTCTCCCTGCATGGAGACCAACCGCGACACCAACAGAAAATACTGCAATAAACACTATCCGCAGCCTGTCAGAAGCACGGCAACAATCAACGACCGGTCAGGGCGTGCGAAGTGTAAACGAACCGACAACGGAGACAGCCCTACCATACGCGTAAGAATAGACGGTAAATGGCGAGATCTAAAGGTCGGAAACGAGTGGGTCGTTCCCTACAACCCGTACTTATTATTGATGTTTGATTGTCACATATGTGTGGACGTTGTGACTGCTACCTCGTGCGTAAAATACCTGTTCAAATACGTACAAAAAGGCGCCGATTATGCCAAAGCTAGAATCCAAGGTATTACCAGCGAGATAGAGAAATACCGTAAAACTCGATAAATTTCTGTTGCCGAAGCTACATGGAGATTGCTAGGATTTCAAATAGTCAGCAGATTTCCTGCAGTTACAAAGGTGCACGCCCACGTAGAAGGCGACCAGTACGTCACATACCCGGACGATGCTACCCCAGAGCAGCGCCTTCAATTTGCCGAAGATTCTCCTTCTGCTCTATTGATTTTGTTTGGGTGCGGTAGCTCGTCAGAGGCCGAAAGAGAACGAAGGTTGACTCAAGACCTTGTTGCTTAGAGAGTGAGAGACATGCGGTAGGCCACACCATCGCCATGCAGCATGTCCGTCAATACATTCCATCCGCGTACCCCCCTGAGGCCCCGTAGACAGTATACTCTGCCGAGCACCCCAAACAGCCCCCCTGCTCGGTACGAGATACGATCTACGATATCCCCGACACGACTATCATTGCCAGAAAAAACGGCAGACAGAAAAAACCAAAACCTCTAGAATGCTAACAATAAATCATCCACCATTCCAATCCAAACGACTCTGTCTGCCAATAGAACATGTTCCACGAAATCGCCGGATCTTCCAACAGAACACGTCCTGAAAAGCTTTCAAACCTTTTTGATGTCAAATTTCTACCCCTAAAAGGTCTGTCAAGCAAAACAAATCACCCTCTGGAGAAAAGTGCTCTACCCAATTCTCAAGCAGTCAAAACATGAACAATTACCCAGGGAAAAATACCCAGCAAAAAGATCAACATTACATCAGAATCACGTCAGAAGAGGACGGGTAACTCCGGGAAAACGTATCTTACCTCCTGACTACTCAGAACAAATTCATTCCTCAGATAAATATTCATGTTTCAACTCAATGGCCAGTTCAAATTACACGAACATGCCAAACCCTCTCTCCGACATCCAATACCTTGACAAAGAAACCACTCCACCAGCCCCCCTGCTGTAACATCCATTCCATCCTGAACATGAAGTCAAAATCAAATCAATCAATCAATCCAACAGCCCCCCTGCTGCATCATTCATCCCGAAAAAA